CTAAGGGAGGAGGAAGTTCAGGTGAGATTTAAGCAACTATTGGCAGAAAGGTGGGCTGGTGCAAGTATGAGTAGTGGGGGGGGGGGGGGTTGAAGAGGGTTGGAATAGTTTTAAAAATGCAGTATTAGAATGTGGGGCAGAAGTTTGTGGTTATAGGAGGGTGGGTGCAGGAGGAAAGAGGAGTGATTGGTGGAATGATGAAGTAAAGGGTGTGATAAAAGAGAAAAAGTTAGCTTATGAGAGGTTTTTACAAAGCAGAAGTGTTATAAGAAGAGTAGAGTATATGGAGAGTAAAAGAAAGGTAAAGAGAGTAGTGAGAGAGTACGAAAGGAGAGCAGATGATAGAGTGGGAGAGGCACTGTCAAGAAATTTTAATGAAAATAAGAAAAAATTTTGGAGCGAGTTAAACAAGTTAAAGCCTAGAGAACGAATGGATTTGTCAGTTAAAAACAGAGTAGGGGAGTTAGTAGATGGGGAGATGGAGATTTTGGGTAGATGGCGAGAATATTTTGAGGAACTTTTAAATGTCGACGAAGAAAGGGAAGCGGTAATTTCATGCACTGGCCAGGGAGGTATACCTTCTTTTAGGAGTGAAGAAGAACAGGATGTGAGTGTGGGGAGGTGCGTGAGGCATTACGTAGAATGAAAGGGGGTAAAGCAGCTGGAACTGATGGGATCATGATAGAAATGCTAAAAGCAGGGGGAAATATAGTGTTGGAATGGTTGGCATTTTTGTTTAATAAATGTATGAAAGAGGGGAAGGTACCTAGGGATTGGCAGAGAGCATGTATAGTCCCTTTATATAAAGGGAAGGGGGACAAAAGAGATTGTAAAAATTATAGAGGAATAAGTTTACTGAGTATACCAGGAAAAGTGTATGGTAGGGTTATAATTGAAAGAATTATAGGTAAGACAGAATGTAGGATTGCGGATGAGCAAGGAGGTTTCAGAGTGGGTAGGGGATGTGTAGATCAAGTGTTTACATTGAAGCATATATGTGAACAGTATTTAGATTAAGGTAGGGAAGTTTTTATTGCATTTATGGATTTAGAAAAGGCATATGATAGAGTGGATAGGGGAGCAATGTGGCAGATGTTGCAAGTATATGGAATAGGTGGTAAGTTACTAAATGCTGTAAAGAGTTTTTATGAGGATAGTGAGACTCAGGTTATGATGTGCAGAAGAGAGGGAGACTACTTCCTGGTAAAAGTAGGTCTTAGACAGGGATGTGTAATGTCACCATGGTTATTTAATATATTTATAGATGGGGTTGTAAAAGAAGTAAATGGTAGGGTGTTCGGGAGAGGGGTGGGATTAAATTATGGGGAATCAAATACAAAATGGGAATTGGCACAGTTGCTTATTGCTGATGATACTGTGCTTATGGGAGATTCTAAAGAAAAATTGCAAAGGTTAGTGGATGAGTTTGGGAGTGTGTGTAAAGGTAGAAAGTTGTAAGTGAACATAGAAAAGAGTAAGGTGATGAGGGTATCAAATGATTTAGATAAAGAAAAATTGGAGATGTGACTAATGAACAAAGAAAATGTTATTTTAGAGCCAGGAATGTCTGCATTATTCATTCATTCATTATTTTGAAATTGTCGTATCTTTTTATTTTTGTGAAATTGGCCAAATTGCAAACTTCTGACCACGTTATTGGGTAGTTGAAATCAGTAAATGGGCAGTTTCTTGTACTCAATCGATAGAAAAAATGGAGTTCTAAAGAAGTAGCTATGAGTTTGGTCGACTGGAACAATGGAATTAGCCGAAAATAGGGCTCAAAGTGGGCAAAATCGCCGATTTGTAAACATCACCGAGGTCGCTAACTTCATGAGAGCATAGTTCCATCAGTTTTCCATCAAATTTCCTGTTTTTGGTGCCATTACAATCGGGAAAAGATTCTCTTATCATTTTTTTTTTTTTTTTTTGGAATTTTGTGACACCAGGAGACACCTCAGGATTGGGGATTGCGACAGTCAAAGGGTTAAATGATTTATTCTCTTCCATAGAATTGAGCCTATCTAGCAATATTCCAAGTACAGTAGGGCCCTGCTTTACGGCAGCTTGCTTTACGGCATTCCGCTAATACGGACATTTCAAATTATGACCAAAACTCACTATACAGTTCTCCGTCTTTCTAATACAGTCACCACGCCCCACCTGGTTTGTTTACATTCTCCATGAGCACGACTCTCCATTATGTTTGGAAACTTTCCAAAATTTTGAGTGTTTTAAAGTTATTTCATATTTTATATATACAGTACCCTGATAATTATACTTACGTGTAACTTTACCTAAATAAACTTACACACTGTACTGGTATGCAGGTACACATTAAAATCACTAAGAATGTCTTATTAGTCTTGAAGATGCTATATTAACCTCTTGACTGTCGCAACCCCCAATCCTGAGGTGTCTCCTGGTGTCGCAAAATTACAAAAAAAATTATTTTTTCTTATGAAATGACAGAGAATCTTTTCCTGATTGTAATGACACCAAAAAAACTAAATTTTATGGAAAACTAACAGAATTATGCTCTTGCGAAGTTAGCGACCTCCGCGATATTTGCAAATCGGCGATATCGCCCACTTTGAGCCCTATTTTCGGCTAATTCCATTGTTCCAGTCGACCAAACTCATAGCTATTTTTTTAGAACTTCGTTTTTTTCTATTGATTGAGTACAAGAAACTGCCCATTTACCGATTTCGACTACCCAATAACGTGGTCAGAAATTTGCAATTTGGCCAATTTCACGAAAATTAAAAAATATGACAATTTCAAAATAAGGTCCAGAATGAACACTGTAGACATTCCTGGCTCTAAAATAACATTTTCTTTGTTCATCAGTCACGTCTCCAGGCCTCTCTGATATTACTCTTGCTTTCTATTTTGAATTTTTATTCAAACAAAAAATAGAAGATTTACTGTTATGCCGACTTCTGTAATACTGTAATAATTGTATAAATAACATCAACCCATTCATGACTGCACATTAGAATGGCTAGTTGGACATTTATTGGACAATGACATCATTTGTTTACTTTTGAACATCGGCAAAAATCAAACATTTCTCCTACTTTGAGCTCCATTTCTAGGTTCTTTTTATAGTAAAATTAATCAAAATCACCTCTATTTCTTTAATATGTTTTCCATTCTATCAAATGAGACCAGGAAAACGAGAATACAACCATAAATACTATACAAAAATAGACCACAAAGTTGGCATTTTAATTAAAAAAAACGGTCAGAGTTTTTTCTCTAATTATGCACTGCGTGCTCCAGGATTTTTTTTATATGGTGCACACTGACCACACAGACCCATTTTCTCACATGTGGGCCTACCAGCTTTCTCCTGCTTGATTTGAAGCCACTAGAATTTATGAGTGTATATACGTCAAACACGGTACCTCGTAAGACGTATATATACAACCAAAAAAGTCAAAGGGTTAATAATAGTAATAATAACACACAATAATAATCACTCTGATGTGCATTAAATGTCATATAAAACATTAATATAGACATATATGGTATTTTTTTTTTTTTCAAAATTATGTAATAAACATACTACGTAACATGTAAACATGATAAATACACCCACAGTAGAATAAATTAACATGAATATGATATTTTTTCCAGTCGTTGGAGTGTCAGAAAGAATAACATTTTCTCTAGTCCAAGACCAAAGAAAATGTGTAGACAATAGTATTACTGGGGATAACTGTATAAAATTACATATTCCTTTTGTATGCCTTGTATGAATATAATGGTGTGTTACATGAGAATGGGAGCGTTGCTTTTTATTTATTCTACTTTTCCAATGTGGAGACAATTTTTACACAATGTAAGGTTTTTGTATTATGGTATAAGATACACAGACATGGGAATGAACGTGTATCAACCAAAAACAGACGCATTTGTCTGTTTGTTTACATACTCTGCGGCTCTGTCCTCTCCCAATTAATTGTTCTCTCTCTCTCTCTCTCTCTCTCTCTCTCTTGTTTATTTGTTTTTATATCGTTTACTCACCTCTTACCCTGCATTAAGACTACAAGTATTTTAAGGTAAGTAATGAGTGTACTGTACATGTATATGCATGTTATCACTCTAGGGCACTTCAAATGTCATAGTATATTACATGTGGGTGGGGTGGCCTGGCTGGCTACCTCCCACACCTGACTTCTTAAAATAAATACTACTCACCTCTCACCCTACATTTAGACTACAAATATTTTGAGGTAAGTAATAAGTGTACTGTGTGTGGATTTTACTTTTTATTGTTTTTTAATACCTAGTTTTCTCTTGTTAACTTGATATGTTAGTGTAAACTTGTTTTCTGGCATTTTTATGCATTTATAAGTGGAAAAAATGGCATTCTGCTTTCTGGCGATGTCCGCTTTCCGGCAGTAGCCTGGAACCTAACCTGCCATATAAGTGGGACCCTACTGTATATGCAGTAGATGACAGTTTTATAATGTGTTTTATGATATGTGTCAGCTGTCAGAATGTAATGGAACTTTTTGCTGATTTACTTTATTAATTTTTGGACCTGAATAATTAGGAAATTAAAGATCTGTTTGCTTACTTTTCTGGTTTCTCCTTTTGTGTATCTTTTGTTTGCATTTTATTTGCTTTCTTGCACATCCAAAACCATATCAGAGTGGTCTAGGAATTTCAAGACATGAATGTTGGCCTGGGGTTGAGTGCATGGTTGTTCTGTCAATGGCTCTTTCAAAGTGTGTTATTGTGTTGTCAGGGAAGTTGGGCTATGATCAGATCCCTGGTATTGCCCCCTAACTTTGGCCTTCGTAAGAATATCCTACTGTGGTATGCAACTCCCAGTTTATGTAGAGACACCAAGTACTTCTTGGGTGTATCATATGGTATTCATTTTAAGAATGTGATGCAGTGTCCAAGTTTCATATCACACAACACACATTCTTGAATAATGCTAAAACTACATAGTTTTATTTTTGTAGTTAATTAGATTATTTGTGCAGGTCACGACGAAACGCAGAAAATGCAGCCTCTGAGGAAAATATTAGACAGACGGAAGGACCTTTTCACAAAGTGGCAAAGAAGGCAGAGGAGATTCAGCAGCTTCTAGCGGAGCTGGCTAGCGAGTACCTACAGTTGCATTCCAGTGCTCTTAATCTAAAAGCTGAGGTTATGAAGGTAATTATGTGTCATTTCTACCATATATTAATGATTTTAAGTTTACATTGATGCATACAAGTGATCAGTGTTTAGATAAAGATAAGGAAGTTTTTGTTGCATTTATGAATTTAGAAAAGGCATATGATAGGGTGGATAGGGGAGCAGTGTGGCAGATGTTGCAGGTGTATGGAATAGGTGGTAAGTTACTAAATGCTGTAAAGAGTTTCTATAAGGATAGTGAGGCTCAGGTTAGCATGTGTAGGAGAGAGGGAGATCACTTTCAAGTAAAAATAGGCCTTAGACATGGATGCACAATGTCACCCTGATTCTTAACATGTTTATAGGTGGGGTTGTAAAAGAAGTAAATGCTACAGTGTTGGGGAGAGGGGCAGGATAAAATTATGGGGAATGAAATACAAAATGGGAGTTGACAGTTACTTTTTGCTGATGATACTGAGCCTTTGGGAGATTCTAAAGAGACGTTGCAAAGGTTAGTGGACGAGTTTGGGAGGACATGTAAAGGAAGAAAGTTTAAAGTGAGCATAGATAAGAGTAAGGTGATGAGGGTATCAAATGAGTTAGGTAAAAAAAAAATTAATATTAGATTAGAGGGAGGGAGTATGGAAGAAGTGAACATGTTCAGATATTTGGTAGTAGACTTGGCAGTGGATGGGTTTATGAAGGACAAGGTAAACCACAGAATTGACAAAGGAAAAAAGGTGAGTGGTGCATTGAGGTATCTGTGGAGACAGTGTTATTCATTGAGACAAAGCAGAGAATGTATGAAAGTAGTGGTAGTGGTATCAACACACTTGCTACAGCAAGGAGGAGGCTAGAGGCAGTGGTGATGTTGTGTCTAAGGGCAATGTGTGGTGTAAATATTATGCAGAGAATTGGTAGTGTGGAAATTAGGAGGAGGTGTGGAGTTATTAAAAGTATTAGTCAGAGGGCTGAGGAGGGGATGTTGAGGTGGTTTGGTCATTTAGAGAGGATGGAGGAAAGCTGGATGACTTGGAGGGTGTATAAATCTGTAGTGGAGGGGTAGGGGTCATCCTAGGAAAGGATGGAGGGAGGGGGTAAAAGAGGTTTTGTGTGTAAGGGGCTTGGACATACAGCAGGCATATGTGAGCTTGTTAGATAGTGAATGGATTTGAATGGTTTTTGGGACTTGATGAGCTGTTGGAGTGCGAGCAGTGTAATATTTTTTGAAGGGATTTGGGGGAACCGGTTAGCTGGACTTCAATCCTGGACGTGCGAAGTACAATGCCTGCACTTCGATGGCGGGGTTTGGTATATTGACCGTTTGGAGTGACATCTGAACTGTCATATCTGGGCACCTCTGCAAAGACAGTGATATGCATGAATGATGGTGAAAATGTTTCTTATTTTGGGTCACCCTGCCTCAGTGGGAGACAGCCAATGTGTTGAAAAAAATATAAAAAAGTTGACCTGGGCCACAAGATGAAGGGAAAGCTTTGATGGATGCTTTTGTTACAATAACCAGATTTTAGCATAACTCCAGGTAAATGTTAGGTGTACTTTCACTCCTCACAGGTGTGAGTAAATCATGTGTTTTTTTTTTGCATCAGCAGTCAGTACATAGTGTTTTCATATCCTTTGAGGACACTAGTAATGATATTTATTTTTTTATTTTTTAACACATCGGCCATTTCCCATGAGGCAGAGTGACCCAGAAGGAAAGAAAATCGTAAAAAGAAAGAAAAATACTTTCATCATCATTCAACACTATCACTCATACATAATCACTGTCATTGCAGAGGTGCTCAGATATGACAGTATAGAAGTCCCTCCAAACTGCCAATATCCGAAACCCCTCCTTTAAAGTGCACATAGAAAAGAGTAAGGTGATGAGGGTGTCAAATGATTTACATAAAGAAAAATTGGATATCTAATTGGGAAGGAGGAGTATGGAAGAAGTGAATGTTTTCAGATATTTGGGAGTTGACGTGTCAGAGGATGGATTTATGAAGGATGAGGTTAATCATAAAATTGATGAATGAAAAAAGGCGAGTGGTGCGTTGAGGTACGTATGGAGACAAAAAACGTTATCTATGGAGGCAAAGAAGGGAATGTATGAAAGTATAGTAGTACCAACACACTTATATGGGCGTGAGGCTTGGGTTGGAAATGCTGCAGCGAGGAGGCGGTTGGAGGCAGTGGAGATGTCCTGTCTAAGGGCAATGTGAGGTGTAAATATTGTGCAGAAAATTTGGAGTGTGGAAATTAGGAGAAGGTGTGGAGTTAATAAAAGTATTAGTCAGAGGGCTGAAGAGGGGTTGTTGAGGTGGTTTGGTCATTTAGAGAGAATGGACAAAAGTAGAATGACATGGAGAGCATATAAATCTGTTGGGGAAGGAAAGCGGGGTAGGAGTTGTCCTCGATAAGGTTGGAGAGAGGGGGTAAAGGAGGTTTTGTGGGCGAAGGGCTTGGACTTCCAGCAAGTGTGCATGAACGTGTTAGATAGGAGTGAATGGAGACGAATGGCATTTGGGACCTGACGAGCTGTTGGAGTGTGAGCAGGGTAATATTTAGTGAAAGGATTCAGGGAAACCGGTTACAGTGGACCCCCGCATAACGATGGCATCACATAGCGATTATTTCGCATACCGCTTACTTTAATCGCAAAATTTTTGCCGCGCATACCGATTAAAAACCCGCTCACCGATTTTCGTCCGAGACGCGTCCAATGTGCGCCCTCAGCCAGCCTCACATGTGCCGCCCGTGCCATTGTTTACCAGCCAGCCTCCGCGGTAACATCCAAGCATACACTCGGAATATTTCGTATTATTACAGTGTTTTCGGAGCTGTTTCTGGAAAATAAGTGACCATGGGCCCCAAGAAAGCTTCTAGTGCCAACCCTACACCAATAAGGGTGAGAATTACTATAGAAATGAAGAAAGAGATCATTGATAAGTATGAAAGTGGAGTGCGTATAGCCGACCTAGTCAAGCTGTACAAGAAACCCCAATCAACCATCGCTACTATTGTGGGCACCAAGAAAGACAATCAAGGAAGCTGTTCTTGCCAAAGGTTTAACTGTGTTTTCGAAACAAAGATCGCAAGTGATGGAAGATGTGAGAGACTCTTATTGGTGTGGATAAATGAAAAACAGATAGCAGGAGATAGCGTCTCTCAAGCGATCATATGTGAAAAGGCTAGGAAGTTGCATGAGGATTTAATTAAAAAAATGCCTGCAACTAGTGATGATGTGAGTGAATTTAAGGCCAGCAAAGGTTGGTTTGAGAGATTTAAGAAGCGTAGTGGCATCCATAGTGTGATAAGGCATGGTGAGGCTGCCAGTTCGGACCACAAAGCGGCTGAAAAATATGTGCATGAATTCAAGGAGTACATAAAAAACTGAAGGACTGAAACCTGAACAAGTGTTTAATTGTGATGAAACAGGCCTGTTCTGGAAGAAAATGCCAAGCAGGACCTACATTACTCAGGAGGAAAAGGCACTCCCAGGACATAAGCCTATGAAAGACAGGCTTACTCTTCTCATGTGTGCCAATGCTACTGGTGATTGCAAAGTGAAGCCTTTATTAGTGTATCACTCTGAAACTCCCAGAGCGTTCAGGCAAAAGAATGTCCTCAAGGATAATTTGTGTGTGCTGTGGAGGGCAAACAGTAAGGCATGGGTCACTAGGGAATTTTTCTATAACTGGTTACACCATGCATTTGCCCCCAATGTGAAAGATTACCTAACTGAAAAGAAATTAGAACTTAAGTGCCTCCTGGTGTTAGACAATGCCCCTGGTCATCCTACAGACGTGGCAGAGCGACTTTATGGGGACATGAGCTTCATTAAGGTGAAGTTTTTGCCTCCTAATACCACTCCTCTCCTGCAGCCCATGGACCAGCAGGTTATTTCCAACTTCAAGAAACTGTACACAAAAGCTCTGTTTGAAAGGTGCTTTGTAATGACCTCAGAAACTCAACTGACTCTAAGAGAGTTTTGGAGAGATCACTTTAATATCCTCAATTGTGTAAACCTTATAGGTAAGGCTTGGGAGGAAGTGACTAAGAGGACCTTGAACTCTGCTTGGAAAAAAACTGTGGCCAGAATGTGTAGACAAAAGGGATTTTGAAGGGTTTGAGGCTAACCCTGAGATGATTATGCCAGTTGAGGAATCCATTGTGGCATTGGGAAAGTCCTTGGGTTGGAGGTTAGTGGGGAGGATGTGGAAGAGTTGGTGGAGGAGGACAATGAAGAACTAACCACTGATGAGCTGATAGATCAACTTCAAGAGCAAGAGGCCAGACCTGGGGAAACTGGTTCAGAGGAGGGGAGAGAGAAAATTGAAGAAGTTGCCTACTACAAAGATTAAGGAAATCTGTGCAAAGTGGCTTGAAGTGCAAACCTTCATGGATGAAAATCACCCTCACACAGCTATTGCAAGCCGTGCTGGTGATTATTACACTGACAATGTTGTGAAACACCTTAGGCAAGTCATAAAGGAACGAGAGGTACAGGCCACTATGGACAGATATCTTGTGCGAAAGAAGTCCAGTGACTCTGAAGCTGGCCCTAGTGGCATTAAAAGAAGAAGGGAAGTAACCCCAGAAAAGGACTTGCTACCTCAAGTCCTAATGGAAGGGGATTCCCCTTCTAAACAGTAAGAAGATAATGCTCTCCCCTCCACCCATCCCATCAATCATCACCAGATCTTCAATAAAAGTAAGTGTCATGTAAGTGTGCATGCCTTTTTCAGTTTGTGTGTATTAAAATTAACATTTCATGTGGTAAAAAAATTTTTTTTTCATACTTTTGGGTGTCTTGCACGGATTAATTTTATTTCCATTATTTCTTATGGGGAAAATTCATTCACATAACGATTATTTCGCATAACAATTACCCCTCTTGCACGGATTAAAATCGTTAACCGGGGGTCCACTGTATTTTTATATAGCCGGACTTGAGTCCTGGAAATGGGAAGTACAGTGCCTGCACTTTCAAGGAGGGGTTTGGTATATGTGTAGGTCGCTAAGTGAGGAGAGTCTGTATTCCAATTTCAAAACAGGGTCCAGAATAAACAATGCAGGCATTCCTTGCACTAAAATAACATTTCCTTTGTTTATTAGTTACGTTTGCAGGCTTTACAGATGAATTCCATTATGATTTTTTAATCACATAAAGAATTTTTATTCACAACAAATAATAGAAGATTTACTGTTGTGCAATATTGTAACAATTGTATAAATAATATCAGCCCATTTGTGAACTCACACTAGACCCACCAGCTGATGTGTTACTTTAGGTTCAATTTCAAGGTATTTTCAGTACTAAAACCAATCAAAATCATCTCTACTTCTGTAATATATCTTCCATTCTATCAAATGAGACCAAGAAACCATGAATACAACTGTAAAAATCATACAAAAATACACCGCAAAGTCACTGTTTTAATCCTAAAACATGATTGCAGTTTTTTTCTCATTATGCACTGCTTGCTGCAGGATTTGTTTTATATGGTGCACACTTACCACATAGATGCATTCTCTCATATCTAGGCCCAAATTTTGCACTCACAGCTTATCTGAATGAGCTGAGCTCATGACGATGTATTACGGCACTGACCCTGGCTTCAAAGCCGTAGAACTATGGGACGGACCCTCAAAGGATTAATTAATGTATATGTGTTATTTATCCATGGGGAAGTGAAAAAAGAATCCTTCTTCTGTAGGCCTTGCATGTTGTAAGAGGTAATTCAAATGCTGGGAGCAAGAGGCTAGTAACCCCTTCTACTGTATAAATTATTAAATGTAAAAGGAAGAAAAAAAAATTGGTTTCTTCTTTTTCAGGTCACCTGCCTTGTTGAGAGATGGGCGGTGTGTTAAAAAAATTTTATTGAGTCAGAGCAGAGCTACAGTATAGTACACAGCACAGTAAATATATGTGAAGCAGTGGGCAGCAACAGGACTGTCTTCAAGAGAAAGAGAGGGGGAAGGGGCAGAGACAGAAAGGGAGGAGTTTATGGGTATGTAGTGTGGGAAGGTAGTGATGAGTATAATAATGTTAGGGATGGTGGGGCACTAGGTCCCATGTCTCACCACTTAACATGTTCAGTATGGAGGAACAGCAACTACCACAACCCAACTAAAAACAATTAAACTACAATTCCTAACCAATTAAATAAATGTAAGCTTTATATGCATACTTATCATTATTAGAATCATGTGAAGGTGCTAAATCCATTAAGGTTATACTGGACTGGGACCAGGTTCAGTCCAAGGAAGGAACTAAAATTAAGATTAAGAACGTCTCACTGGAATTAAGATGCTTTCCTCAAGGGGTCTATATATACATGTATAAAATAAACATACAAAAAAGTACGAAAGTATTTAGTACAAAAAATTGAGAAAAACTTATTTTTTTTTATTAACACATCGGCCTTCTCCCACCAAGGCAGGGTGGCCCGAAAAAGAACTTTCATCATCATTCACTCCATCATTGTCTTGCCAGAGGTGCATTTACACTACAGTTATAAAACTGCAGCATTAACACCCTTCCTTCAGTGTGCAAACACTGTACTTTTCATCTCCAGGACTCAAGTCCGAAAATACACCACAGAGTCGCTGCTTTAAGCCAAAAGCACGGTCGCAGTTTTTTTCTCATTATGCACTGCGTGCTGCAGGAACTTTTATATGGTGCACATAAACTTCATAGACCCATTCTCTCATATATAGGCCCGAATTTACCACTCACAGCTTATCTGAGCGAGCTGAGCTCATGACATAGTACTACAGGGCCCACACTGGCTTCAGAGCTGTGATACAACAGGACCGACACCGAGAGGGTTCATGTGCATTTAAATTCAACACATTATCATTTGTCAGTTGCTGTGATATGTGCAAAAACGTTCACTGACAGTCCATAAAGCACAGCATTTGTGCATATAGAATTTAGTTAATGTATCATCTTTACATTGTGCCATGTATGTTTGTGTATCTTAGTACTTCAATTATATGTAATGCATAAGTTCTCTTTACAGTATATCATTATCAATGTACCCATGTTACTTTGCAGCACATCCTAAATGCACAGTATTGATTATTCTCATCCTCAACACTTGGTTTATATGCAGTAACACCAGCCACCTTCACTTGATGAACCTTCACCAGTGTTACAGAACAGAACTATTGCATAATACAGAGCTTGACTCAGCAAACTTACTGTTTCTTTATTCCTCTTCTTAGAATCCTCAAATCATTTTTTGCCTGATAATTTTGTTTTTCTTTCAGCTTTATTTTACAAAACTTGTGCTTCATGTAAAGAATTGAAATACACTGAAAATTTTATGCTCCTTGACTGGCCCCCTCATATTCTATATAACCATATGAACCTGCTCTTGTTTCTGGGATCCTGGCAGGTGAGAGCTTCAGGAAAGAGGCTGTTGACCTCTAGTAGGGAGAAGATAACCATTTTCTATTTCTTAATACTACAGTTTTTTACTACAGTATATAACATTGTTCCATCTTGCTTCTCACCTGTTATGCCTGAAAATGTGATGTGGTTTACTAGTTCCTGGGAAATAAATGTAACTTTTTTTTTATTATGGAAACATCTGTCTAGTTTTATAATTTATCTGATTTTATGTTTGATGCAGTTAACGTGTTTATTTCCAGGAAGCAGAAAATGTAGAAATGGCTCGACGGACCAAGGACACCCCAATGGCCTTACAAGGAGAAAATAAAGCTCCTGAGGTATTCTTCATTAATCTTGTTCGATCATTTGAGGCCGAAATGATATACTGCCGCACTAAGATTGAAGAAGTGTCTCAGTGTATGCAAGCAGCCAGCAATCCATGTGAAACACCTGAAGGTACATCATTTAATGTAATAATACACTAGTAATGTGGAATAAGTCATATTGGCTTTAATCAAGTTTTGGTTTCCAGAATTTTCTTTATTAAAACCAGCGAGGTACGTACTACCATCATGCCATAAACACACAAAAGACAGGTAAATTTCACAACCTCAGGCATATCTTAATATAAATTGCCACATTCCCCATTTTCCTGGTGAACTGGCAGGGAGTGGGGTAATTGTGCCTGCCCTGCATTATCTCTGTTAGCCAAAGCCATTTTGTGGTATTGTTTGTGGCATGTGACCCATGCTGGAAATGTGAGGCAACTAGACCTCACAACTGAGAGAGGTGAAAGGAGAGGGGTCATGTTTTTATGTCAACAATAACATTAACACATTTTCCTATAACTTGAGTGTTCACTGGTGTAGCACTTAAAATTTCCTTCAATGCTTTTTCCTTAGAGTTCACAATTGTACTGTTTGACAAGCCAAACCTAACTTACAGCCTATCTCAGCCATACATTTACCTTTCTCACTGAGTTGAATCATTTTTAACTTGGCACTTAACCCTTTCAGGGTCCAGAGGCCAAATTTCAAAGTGCGCACCAGTGTCAGAATTTTCAAAAAATAATTTTGTTATTTTTTTCTTATGAAATGGTAGAGAATCTTTTTTCTGAAGATAATAAAACAAAAAGTATGAAATTTGATGGAAAATTGACGAAATTATGCTCTCGCGAATTTTGATGTGTCAGCGATACTTACGCATCAGCTATTTTGCCGACTTTGACTCCCATTTTAGGCCAATTACATTATTCCAGTCGACCAAATTCTTAGCTATTTCACTAGTATTGCTTCTATTCTATTGACTGAGCACAAGAAATCGCGAATTCAACTGTTACAACTACAAAATAAAGTGATCGGAAATTGATAATTTGGCCAATTTAATGCAAAGTTCAAAATATTCCAATTTCAAAATAATGTCCAGAATAAACAATGCAGGCATTCCTGGCACTAAACTAACATTTCCTCTGTTCATTAGTTATGTTTTCAGGCTTTACAAATGAATTCCATTTTGATTTTTTATTCACATAATGAATTTTTATTCAAACCAAAAAATAGAATATTTACTTTTATACAATATTGTAATAATTGTATGAATAACATCACCACATTTGTAAACATATATTAGACCCACCAGCTGGCGTGTATTAGACGTGTGAGGTCATTTGCTTACTCTTGAACATCAGCAAAAATTTAATATTTCCACTACTTTGAGCTCAGTTTCAAGCCATTTTCAGTACTAAAACCAATCAAAATCATTTCTATTTCTGTAATGCATCTTCCATTCTATCAAATGAGACCAAGAAATCGCAAATACAAATATAAAAATACAAACAAAAAAACACTGCAAAGTCGCTGTTGTAATCGAAAATTACGATCTCAATTTTTTCTCATTATGCACTGTGTGCTGCAGGATTTGTTTTATGTGGTGCACACATACCACATAGATGTGTTCTCTCATATCTAGGCCCAAATTTACTGCTCACAACTCATCAGAGTGAGCTGAGCTCATGGCGTAGACCTACTGTTTGGACCCTCAATGTAAAGCCGTAGATCTACAGCATGGACCCTGAAGGGTTAAAGTGAGAGGCTTACGACTCCTTTTTTTTATCACAACTATCCATAGATACCATTGTAACACAAAAATAATACATAAAATACGTATACATAATAACTTTAAAACATTTGAAACATTGGAAAGTTTCCAGACAGAATCCTGAGAGATGCAGAGCACGTGAAGGCTGAAAACACAGTGGAGAAAATGGCACGCCAGACACCCAGCTGCTGAGTGCATTGGGCCAAAAAAGTGCCAGAATAGTGAAACAAGCTTCGAATAAATGAAGAATGGGTATAGTTGAAAAATGCTGTAATGCGAAACCACCATAAAGTGGGACATTCCTGTACAGTGTAACTTGATTTAACGCTTTACTGTCTCCCATGTAGAGCTATGTTATTGATGCCAGTGTCACTCATGTTCATCTACGTTTTAGGCACAAATTTGCTGTGAGCTGTGAATTTTGGCCTAGACTTGCAAAAATTGGCCTGTTTAGTGAGTGTGCACTGTATGCAAAAAAATCCTGCCCTATACAGTGCTTGATGAGAAAAGCAAACCTCTAGCTTTGTGTCTGGTTTAAAATAGCAACTTTGAGGAGTTTTCTGTGATAGTTTTCAATGGTTTTATTGCCTATTTCTTAGTAACAATTAATAGAATGTTAAACATACTAGTGAAAAAGAAATGATTTTGGTTGGTTTGAAACCTGAAGTAGCTTGAAATGGGGCTCAAAGTGGGAGAAATATTTAATTTTTGGTGATACTCCTGAGGAAGGGTAGACCGCACCTACCCTCAGTCTATTTTAAGAATAAGTTTATTTCAGCATGATACAAGTTTGTACAAAGGAGTATAGCAATTGGGTGTACATTCCAAAAGCCTCTGTATATGCAGAGCTAACCTAGGTCTGCTTCAATTATTGGAATGGCCTAAACCATACCCAATTATTATTGATTATATTTTATTATCCAAGAAATAGGGTAAAAATTTCAATTTTTTGTGATGCATTGAAAATGGATTGTTAGTGCTATATAAGAGTCCTGGGGACATGATTAATGAACAGATGAAAAGTGGCTTTAGTAGCTGGAAGGATTCTGCAGGGTTTGTTTTGGACTGTTTTTCAAGTGAAATTTGTTGAATTTTGTGGGAAATTGGCCAAATTACTGATTTACGTGTGTGCACTTAACCCTTTGACTGTCGCAACCCCCAATCCTGAGGTGTCTCCTGGTGTCACAAAATTTAAAAAAAAAAAAAAAATTATTTTTTCTTATGAAATGATAGAGAATATTTTCCCGATTGTAATGACACCAAAAAAACGAAATTTGATGGAAAACTGACGGAATTATGCTCTCGCGAAGTTAGCGACCTCGGCGCTGTTTACAAATCGGCGATTTCGCCCACTTTGAGCCCTATTTTCGGCTAATTCCATTGTTCCAGTCGCCCAAACTCATAGCTATTTCTTTAGAACTTCATTTTTTCTATCGACTGAGTACAAGAAACTGCCCATTTACCTGATTTCAACTACTCAATAATGTGGTCGAAATTTGCAATTTGGCCAATTTCCACGAAAACTAAAAAATATGACAATTTCAAAATAAGGTCCAGAATGAACAATGCAGACATTCCAGGCTCTAAAATAACGTTTTCTTTGTTCATCAGTCACGTCTCCAGGCCTCTCTGGTATTACTCTTGCTTTCTATTTTGAATTTTTATTCAAACAAAAAATATTAGACTTACTATTATGCAGGCTACTGCAATGCTGTAATACCTGTATAAATAACATCAACCCATTCATGACTGCATATTAGAATGGCTAGTTGGACATTTATTGGACAATGGCATCATTTGTTTACTTTTGAACATTGGCAAAAATCAAACATTTCCCCTACTTTGAGCTCCATTTCTAGGTTCTTTTTATAGTAAAATCAATCAAAAACACCTCTATTTCTGTAATATGTTTTCCATTCTATCAAATGAGACCAAGAAAACGAGAATACAACCATAAATACTATACGAAAATAGACCACAAAGTCGGCATTTTAATTAAAAAAAACGGTCGGAGTTTTTTTTTTCTCATTATGCACTGCGTGCTCCAGGATTTTTTTTATATGGTGCACACTGACCACACAGACCCATTCTCTCACATGTGGGCCTACCAGCTTTCTCCTGCTTGATTTGAAGCCGCTAGAATTTATGAGTATATATACGTCAAACACGGCACCTCGTAAAACGTATATATACGGCCGCGACAGTCAAAGGGTTAAGAGTAAGATTTATAGTTGAATTCAGTGTTCCTTGTGCGCAGTTAATAAAATAAAAGGGATACAGTAGTCCCTCAATTATCGCCCATAATCCGTTCCTGGAAGTTTCTCTTTTAAATTTAGTAATTTATATGGGAGAAGGGGTTACTAGCCCGTTGCTCCCGGCATTTTAGTCTCCTCTTACAACACGCATGGTTTACGGAGGAAGAATTCTGTTCCACTTCCCCATGGAGAATGAAATATAGATTTTTTTTTTTTTTTTTTTCAACAAGTTGGCCGTCTCCCACCGAGGCAGGGTGACCCAAAAAAAGAAAGAAAGAAAATCCCCAAAAAGAAAATACTTTCATCATCATTCAACTCTTTCACCACACTTGCACATTATCACTGTTTTTGCAGAGGTGCTCAGAATACAACAGTTTAGAAGCATACACATATAAAGATACACAACATATCCCTCCAAACTGCCAATATCCCAAACCCCTCCTTTAAAGTGCAGGCATTGTACTTCCCATTTCCAGGACTCAAGTCCGACTATATGAAAATAACCGGTTTCCCTGAATCCCTTCACTAAATATTACCCTGCTCACACTCCAACAGATCGTCAGGTCCCAAGTACCATTCGTCTCCATTCACTCCTATCTAACACGCTCATGCACGCTTGCTGGAAGTCCAAGCCCCTTGTCCACAAAACCTCCTTTACCCCCTCTCTCCAACCCTTTCGAGGACGACTCCTACCCCGCCTTCCTTCCCCTATAGATTTATATGCTTTCCATGCCATTCTTCTTTGATCCATTCTCTCTAAATGACCAAACCACCTCAACAACCCCTCTTCTGCCCTCTGACTAATACTTTTATTAACTCCACACCTTTTCCTAATTTCCACACTCCGAATTTTCTGCATAATATTTACATCACACATTGCCCTTAAACAGGACATCTCCACTGCCTCCAACCGTCTCCTCGCTGCTGCATTTACCACCCAAGCTTCACACCCATATAAGAGAGTTGGTACTACTATACTTTCATACATTCCCTTCTTTGCCTCCATAGATAACGTTTTTTGACTCCACATATACCTCAACGCACCACTCACCTTTTTTTCCTCATCAATTCTATGATTAACCTCATCCTTCATAAATCCATCCG